GAAACTGTAATGGTTTTTTGTTTGTTTTTTTAGTGTTTATTTATTTTTGAGAGAGAGAGTGCGAGTGGGAGAGGAACGGGGGTGGGTGGGGGGACACAGAATCTGAAGCAGGCTACAGGCTCTGAGCTGTTAGCACAGAGCCTGACGTGGGGCTCGAACTCACAACCTGTGAGATCATGACTGAACCAAAGTTGGATGCTCAACCAACTAAGATACCCAAGTGCCCCTCTGTGACAGTCCTTTAGCTATATCTTGTTGCAACAAAATTTATATATTTATTTTAAATTTTTATTTAAATTCCAGTTAGTTAATATAGTGTAAAGTTATTTTCAGGAGTAGACTTCAGTGACTCATCACTTACATACAACACCCAGTGCTCAAAATGATTAGCTCTTTCCTTAATACCCATCACCCATTTAGCCCATTCCCCCACCCATCATCCTCCATCAACCCTCAGTTCTGTATCATAGAGTCTGTTATGGTATGTTTCCCTTTCTTTTGTTTTTCCCCCTTCCATGTGTTCATCTGTTTTTTGTTTTTGTTTTTTCTTAAATTCCACATATGAATGAAATCATGGTACTCTGAGTGACTTATTTCGCTTAGGATAATACACTTTAGTTCCATCCACATCATTGCAAATGGCAAGATTTCATTCCTTTTGATGGCTGAGTAATACTCCATTGTATATGTATATACCACATGTTTATCCATTCATCAGTCAATAGACATTTGGGCTCTTTCCATAATTTGACTGTTGATAATGCTATGGACATTGGGGTGCACGTACCCCTTCAAATCTGTAGTTTTGTATCCTTTGGGTAAATACCTAGTAGTACAATTGCTGGGTCACAGAGTAGTTCTATTTTTAACTTTTTAAGGAACCTTCATACTGTGTTCCAGAGTGGCTGCACCAGTTTGCATTCCTACCAGCAGTGCAAGATGAACCCTTACTCTGCATCCTCACCAACTCTTATTGTTTCCTGTGTTGTTAATTTTAGCCATTCTCATAGGTGTGAGGTGGTATCTCATTGTGGTTTTTGATTTGTATTCCTCTGATAATGAGTGATGTTGAGCATCTTTTCATGTGTCAACCATTTGGATATCTTTGGAAAAATGTCTATTCGTGTCTTCTGCCCATTTCTTAAATGGATTATTTGTTTTTTAAGTGTTGAGTTTGATAAGTTCTTTATAGACTTTGAATACTAACCTTTTATTAGATATGTCTTCTCCCATTCTTCAGGTTGCCTTTTAAGTTTTGTTGATTGTTTTCCTTCACTGTGCAGAAGCTTTTTATTTTGATGAAGTCTCAGTAGTTCATTTTTGATTTTGTTTCCCTTGCCTTTGGCAACTTCTAGTAAGAAGTTGCTCTGGCTGAGGTCAAAGAGGTTGCTGCCTGTGTTCTCCTGTAGGATTTTGATGGTTTCCTGTCTCACATTTAGGTCTTTCATCCATTTGAATTTATTTTTGTGTATGGTGTAAGAAGTAGTCCAGTTTCATTCTTCTGCCAGTCACCATCCAGTTTTCACAACACCATTTATTGAGGAGACCTTTTTCCATTGGATATTCTTCCCTGCTTTATGAAACAATTAGTTGACCATGTAGTTGTGGATCCATTTCTGGGTCTTATTTTCATTGATCTATTTGTTTGTTTTTGTGTTTGTGTTGTGTGTACTGCCTTGATGACTATAGCTTTGTAATGTAGCTTGAAGTCCAGAATTACGATACCTCCAGCTTTGCTTTTCTTTTTCAGGAATGCTTTGGCTATTCAGGGTCTTTTGTGGTTCCATTCAAATTTTAGGATTGTTTGTTCTAGCTCTGTGAAAAATGCTGGTAGTATTTTGATAGGGATTGTATTAAATGTGTAGATTGCATTGGGTAGTATAGACATTTTAACAGTGTTTGTTTTTTCAATCCATGAGCATGGAATGTTTTTACATTTCTTTGTGTCATCTTCAATTTCTTTTACAAGTATTCTATGGTTCCAGAGTAGAGATCTTTTACTTCTCTGGTTAGTTGTATTCCAAAATATTCCTTACTGGTTTTGGTGCAATTATAGAAGGGACCAATTCCTTGATATCTCTTTATGTTGCTTCATTATTGGTATATAGAAATGCAACTGAATTCTGTTCATTGATTTTATATCCTGCAACGTTGCTGAATTCACATATTAGTTCTAGCAATTTTTTTGTTGGAGTCTTTCAGGTTTTCTACATAGAGTATCATGTCATCTGCGAATAGTGAAACTTTGACTTCTTCCTTGCCTGTTTGGATGCCTTTTATTTCTTTTTGTTGTCTGGTTGCCAAAGCTAAGACTTCCAGTACTATGTTAAATAGTAATGGTGAGAGTGGACATCCCTGTCTTGTTCTGATCATAGGGGAAAAGCTCTCAGTTTTTCCCCATTGAAGATGGGGTAACTGTGGGTCTTTTGTATATGGCTTTTATGATGTTTGCATATGTTCCATCTATGCCTACTTTCTTGAGGGTTTTTATCAAGAATGAGTGCTTTTTCTGCATCTATTGATAGGATCATATACTTCCTATCCTTTTATTAATGTATCACATTGATTGATTTGCAAATACTGATGGATTCGATTTGTTAGTATCTTATTAAGAACTTTTACATCCATGTTCATCAGAAATATTGGCCTGTAATTCGTCTTTTTAGTGGGGTCTTTGTCTGATTTTGGAGTCAAGGTAATGCTGGCCTTGTAGAATGAGTTTGGAAGTTTCTTTTCATTGTTATATTTTTGGAACAGTTTGAGAAGAATAGGTATTAACTCTTTAAATGTTTGGTAGAATTCCCCTGGGAAGCCATCTGGCCCTGGACTTTAGTTGGGAGATTTCTGATTACTGATTCCACTTCTTTGCTAGTTATGGGTCTATTCAAATTGTCTATTTCTTGTTTCAATTCTGGTAGTTTATATGTTTCTAGGAGCTTCTCCAGTTCTCCAGATTGCCCAGTTTGTTGGCATATGATTTTTCATGGTATATTCTTAAAATCTATGGTATTTCTGTGGAGTTGGTTGTGATCTCTCTTTCATTTGTGATTTTATCTATATGGTTCCTTTCTCTTTTCTTTTTATTAAGTCTGGCTAGAGGTTTATCAATTTTATTCTCCAAAGAACCAGTTCTTAGCTTTGTTGATCTGTTCTCCTGTTTTATTTTTGTTTCATTTATTTCTGCTCTAATCTTTATTATTTCCCTTCTTCTGCTGGCTTTAGGCTTTATTTGCTGTTCCTTTTCTAGTTCCTTTAGGTGTGAACTTAGGTTATGTATTTAAGACTTTTCTTGCTTCTTGAGATAGGCCTGTGTTGCAATATACTTCCCTCTTAGGATTGCCTTTGTTGTATTCCAAAGGTTTTGGACTGTCATGTTTTCATTTTCATTTGCTTGCATGTACTTTTTAATTTCTTCTTTAATTTCCTGGTTAACCCATTCTTTTTTTTTTTTTTTTTTTAAGTGTTTATTTTTGAGAGAGAGAGAGAGAGACAGAGCATGAGTTGGGGAGGGGCAGAGAGAGAGGGAGACACAGAATCCGAAGCAGGCTCCAGGCTCTGAGCTATCTGCACAGAGCCTGATATGGGGCTCGAACTCATGAGCTATGAGATCATGACCTGAGCTGAAGTCAGACACTCAACAAACTGAGCCATCCAGACCCCCCACCATCCACTCCCCCTCCCTCCCCCCTGCATTCATTCATTAGTAGAATGTTCTTTAACCTCCATGTATTTGTGGTTTTTCCAGATTTTTCTTGTGGTTGACTTCAAGTTTCATAGTGTTGTGGTCCGAAAATATACATGGTATGATCTCAATCTTTTTGTGCTTGTTGAGGCCTGATTCATGACCCAGTATGTGATGTTCTGTGTTCTTTTCTAGTCTTTATTGCTTTTTCCCCCCTCAAGGAGTCCCAACCTTTAATATTTTCTTCCAGGGCTGTTTTTGTGGTCATGGACTCCATGAGTTTTTGTTTGTCTGGGAACCTGTTTATGTCTCGTTCTATTCTGAATGGCACCCTCCTTGGATAAAGTATTCTTGGCTACATATTTTTTCCCATTCAGCACATTAAATATATCATGCCACTGCCTTCTGGCCTACCGAGCTTCTGTGGACAGATCTGCTATGAAACTTATCTGTCTTCCCTCATAGGTTAAGAACTTTTTTGCCCTTGTTGCTTTTAGGATTCTTCACTTGTCTGTGTATTTTGTGAATTTGACTATGATATGCCTTGGTGATGGCTGGCTTTTGTTGAATTTAATGGGAGTTCTTTTTGCTTTTTGAATTTCTATGTCTGTTTCCTTTGCCAGGTTAGGGAAATTTTCAGCTCTAATTTGTTCAAATAAACCTGCCCCCTTTTCTCTTTCTTTATCTTCTGGGACTCCTATGATAGGAATCTTATTAAGCTTTAAGGAGTCCTTGAGTACCCTAAGTCAACATTTGTGATCCAATACCTTTCTTTCCCTCTTCAGCTTCATTATATTCCATAATTTTATCTTTTATGTCACTGATTCGTTCCTCTGCTTCATCCATCCTCATTGTCATGGCAGCCATTCAGGTTTGCATCTTGGTTATAGCATTTTTAATTTCAGCCTCACCAGTTTTTAGTTCTTTTGTCTCTGCAGTAAGGGATTCTCTAGTGTCTTCTATGCTTTTTCAAGCCCAGCTAGTATCCTTATAATTATTGTTTTAAATTCTAGTTCAGACATCTTACTTGTATCTGTATTGATTGAATCCCTGGCTGTTATTTCTTCCTGTTCCTTCTTTTGGGGTGAATTCCTCTGTGTTGTCATATTGTCAAGGACAAAAAGAAGAAAAAAAGAAGCTGGATCGTAGATATGTTTTGATCTCTCTCTGCATTCAGGGCTCCCTCCCCATCACAGCACCCACAGCTCTTCTGTCCCCCAAATCAACTCTCCGCAGCTCCTAACTTCAACATTGTGGAAATTTTTTCATGTCTAGTGCATTTTTTCTTAGTCCTCAGATTCATCTCTTGGGTGTTCAAAATGATTTGATATTTATCTAGCTGTGTTCAGGGATGAGGCGAGCCTAGTAGAAGAGAAGTCTCTAGTAGTAGGAGTAGTAGAAGTCTCTTCTCCTTCACATTTCCTTTAATGTTTGTCATCTGTTTGTTCCTTGTCCAACTGGAATTCTGCATAACGATAAATTTGTTAAGCACTTTTTAATGTGCCAGACATTATGGCAACCACTTCTTGAGAATTCTCTTTAATTCTTAAAATAATCCTATGAGATAAATGCTCTTATAATCTCCATTTTGTAGTTGATGGATGGACATGAAGGCAAAAAGATATATGTGACTTTTATGAGGTCTCATAGTTAGTTCAAACCCAGGCATTGAAATTGCAGAGCCCATGCTTTTAGCCACTATGTTTACTGCCACCCTGGGGAATGGGCACAGAATTATGTATTTAGTAATATTAAGGTAATATCTTAGTTTCATAGTGGAAATGTAACTCAGCATCCTCAAGATGGTTTAATGCACACATAAAAAACTGATTGTTTTTTAAACATAAATGCTGAGGTGCTTTGAGTTAGAATTTTAGAGTTCAACTTCTTCACCATATCAATGAGAGAATTAGTTCCAGAGAATCTGATGACTTCTCCAACATAATGTAGGCATCTAGTGTTCTGGTGTTCTTTAAAATTTTGAGGGGGGCACCTGGGTGGCTCAGTCGGTTAAGCATCCGACTTTGGCTTAGGTCATGATCTCACGGTTCATGGGTTCGAGCCCCGCATCGGGCTCTGTGCTGACAGCTCAGAGCCTGGAGCCTGCTTCAGATTCTGTGTCTCCTTCTCTCTCTGCTCCTCCCCTGCTCATGGTCTGCCTCTCTCTCTCTCCTTCAAAAATAAATTAAAATATTAAAAAAATTTTTTTTTCACGTTTATTTATTTATTTTGAAAGAGGGAGTGTGTAAGCAGTGTAGGGGCAGAGAGAGAGGGAGAAAGAGAATCCCAAGCAGGCTCAGCACTGTTGGCACAGAGCCTATTGCAGGGCTCTATCCCATGAACTGTGAGATCATGACCTGAGCCAACATCAAAAGACAGATGCTTAAACAACTGAGTCCGGTGCCCCTTGTGTTCTTTTGACATTTTTGTGTTATCTTTTCTTACTTAAAGCATAAATCTCAAATCTACTTTCATTTTTAACCTTAGCTGTCCAGAACCACTTTTTTCTTTTTTTTTTTAATTTTTTTTAATGTCTATTTGTGAGAAAGGGCTCTTGTGTTCTGCTTTAATACAAAACTAACTTTTATTGTAAAGAATACTAACTTAATTATATTTACTAAATCTAAGGTAAAATGCTCTTAGAAATGGGATATTTTATTTATTTATTTATTTATTTATTTATTTTTAAATGTTTATTTATTTTGAGAGAGAGCACGTGCTCAAGCAGGGGAAGGACTGAGAGAGAGAGAGAGAGAGAGAGAGAGAGAATCCCAACTAGGCTCTGCACTGTCATTACAGAGCCTGACATGGGGCTTAAACTCAAACTGTGAGATTGTGACCTGAGCCACCAGAAATGGCATATTTTTAATAGCTCGACAACATTTTTTTCTTTTTCTTTCTGTTCTTTTATCTGAACCTCAGGTGCACAGAACTGATGATAGCAACATTATTTTACTCCCTATTTCATTGAAAAAGCTATTAAATGTTATCATTAAATGCAATATTTGATAGGTATCTATTGTCAAGCCAAAACCTCTTGGTTTGAGGTTTTGTTTGTTGTTTGTTTTTAAAAATCCTATATGAATGAATTATATAAAATAGATAATACAACAACTTGGAAGGTAGATACAATTATTATCCTCAATTTTTTTTGATGAAAACTGAGGCACAAAAAGATTACACATACTTTCCCAGAGTAGCTAAGTATAGAGCCTGGGATTCAAACCCAAGCAGCCTGGCTTCAGACTGATGTTTATATTTTCAGTCTAAAATGTGACTGATAGAATTTTTATGATCTATATATGATTCATGATCCTCTCTGAGAAAAATTACTTAAGACTTTCTTTGGTATGTATTAAGTGGCTCATTTTTTAAATGTGTTTGTTTGTTTTAGACCAAACTAGAAATCCAGAAGGCCCTTGCAGAAGATTCCACTGTATATGAATATGACAGTATTTATGATGAAATGCAGAAAAAAAGGGAGGAAAATAATCCCAAATTGCTTTTGGGAAAAGACCGAAAGGTTTGTAGCTGAAAAGTATAAATTTCTTTGACCTTGACTTGTATTTTATATCTTAATCTTATTTTAGCATGAGGATGATCTGAGAAAAAGCTTTTAGGTATTTGAAATGTGAAGAAGAGCCCCTAGTTGCAGATAATATAGGTTTGATTTAGAACCCAGGAAACCCTACTAAAAGTATCCTAACAGGAGTGAGTAAATTATCTAACAATAAAAACAACAAGTTGTGTTTTTTGCTTTAAAACCTTCACACATTTTGGAAATTTTTTTCTTAGAAAGTCTCTGTACTAGTAACTCCTGTTCCTGTTCATATTTTTGTGTTTTATCATTCACTCATTTTTTTATTGCATTCTAGCTGGTAACAGAATCATCTGCACATGTGATCATATTTTTAGTTTGAAAAAAATACTTGAGAGTGGGAGCTTGAAATACGTTCACATTTTCTATCACTTTTTGTCTTTCATAAGCACAGACAGATATCTTTGCATCTTATAGTATGTGCAGGTAGGGTGGTAGTATAAAATTAAAGCTATTCTTTTAAATAAGCATATTTCACCTAATGGAAAAAGTAGTAGGAACCTTCTGAATCACTTACTTGAAGTATTGAGACAATACCTGTGAAAAGGGTGAAAACACAGTGGAAAAATTAATTTGAAATAAAAAAAAATAAAATAGCAGTTTGAATAATTTGTTTTACACTTAAATTTTTATTGTAAAGAATTTTAGTTTCACTCTTGCTAGTAAATTTATATTGAATTTTGAGAGGATGACAGTCCCGCCTATTTGGACTAGCCATTTTTATCTTAATAAATTCATGATAAAAACAATATTTTTTAATTTTTATTTTTGATTCTTCCCTAAATAATCTTATTTTTCCTCCTAGCCCAAGTATATTCACAACTTACTAAAAGCAGTTGAGATCAGAAAAAAGGAACAGGAAAAGAGAATGGAAAAGAAAATACAGAGAGAACGAGAGATGGAGAAGGGAGAGTTTGATGATAAGGAGGCATTTGTGACATCTGCTTATAAGAAAAAACTGCAAGAGAGAGCTGAAGAGGAAGAAAGAGAAAAAAGGGCTGCTGCACTTGAAGGTGAAATAGAAGAGGGAGAAGGGTAGAAGGAAACCGAAGCAGCAAATTGGTTTAGCCATTTGCTCTGTCCGTGAACTTCTAGGTTATAATGTGGTGGTCCTAATTTATGTATATAGATTTAAGGTATAAGATATGATGTTTTGTAGTATTATAAAATGTTGAAGAGATTATGAGTAAAAACACAGTTGTACTCTCAGTAACTTATTTCTACTGGACTTTTCATATATCTCATTTTGTGGTTTAAAACTATGACCATTACGAGTCATTGCCATAGAAAAATTCTAAATGTAAGAACTTTTATTACAAATCATAACACCATAATCTTGGTCAGAAGCAATATAAACTGAGATTTAAATCCTAGTTATATTTTCTGGCTTTAGAAAACTAGAGTAATACCACTCAAGGAACATTAACTGGGTGGGCATTTAGAAAAAGCATAACATTAATTCAAAAAAGAAAAAGATGTGCAGGAGCCAAAGAATGTCTTAGTGCTTTACTTCAGTCCTTTCTACTCATGGTCATTTCTCAAGGTCTAAGTAAAATGTATACATATAAATAGCTTAATTGACAAATGCTCATCAACTTTAAATAGAAGAAAATCAAGTCTAATGTTCTAAGGATGTATTAAGTGTTCATCTAGAGTATCAGTTGGCAGATATTCTGTGAAGGACCAGATAAGTAAATATCTTAGGTTTTGTGTACCATATGATCTCTGTTGGAGCTCCTCAGTTCTGCCTTTTAATACAAAAGCAGCCTTAATAAACAAATGAACAAGGCTACATTCCAATAAAAATATATTTACAAAAACAGTAGGCCACATTTGGTCTGCAGGCTATAGTTTGCCAACTCTGTCTACAGTTTATATACTGTATGTTACATACTCTACACCTGTAAAACAGAACTGTGTTGTGCCTTGTTGAATATATTCCTCTCATGTTTGCTTTCCCTCTCAGCCCGTTTGGATGTAACCAAGCAGAAAGATCTCAGTGGATTTTATAGACACCTGTTAAATCAAGCAGTTGGTGAAGAGGAAGTACCTACATGCAGCTTTCGTGAAGCCAGGTGAGACATGGCATATGGAATATTTAGAAGAAAAATTCTGTTCATGATCTGTGGTTGTAGGATTATTTTAACCCTCTGAAAGATAGAAGATTGCAGCATTGCATGTTGTGTTGTCAGCCAAACCTGACCTGATTGAATTGCAAAGGATTTACACTTTCTTAATTAAAAACTTACAGATTTAGTTCAAGATTATTTCTATTCTTCAGGATTCCTACATGTATGTTCATAAGAAGTAGTTTATTTTCATAAATAGGACATGGCCTCCAGAAAATGTAAGATTCACATATTTAGGGCTAGAAATGCACTCTCTAATATGTAGCTAGTAGTCACATGTGGCTATTTAAATAAAATCTAGGGGCGCCTTGGTGGCTCAGTCAGTTAAGTGTCTGACTTTGGCTCGCGTTCATGAGTTTGAGCCTTACATGTGGCTCACTGCTATCAGCTTTCAGCGTGGAGCCTGCTTCAGATCCTCTGTCCTCTTTGGCCCTCCCCCGCTTGCACTCTCACTCTCAAAAAAGAAATAAAACATTAAAAATATATGTATTATAACTAAAATATAAAATTTTGGTTATAATAGCCACATTTCAAATACAGTTGCCACATATGGCTAGTGGCTACCGCAGATGGCACAAATATGGACATTACTATTTCTGTACATATTTCCATTAGCACCGGTATAAAAAGAAAGTGTTGGAGGGTTTTTAAAATAAAATTATAAAGTATTGTAGGAATGGTTAAATGACTCTCATAAGTATATAGCTGAAGGTAAAAGAGAATTTGTCCTAAGCTTGTATCTGAGTAAATGGTTTTTGGAACAGAGACATTCAGATTAGAGGATCTGTGTCTGTGTTGCTGGGAAAAGGAGAGAGGCAGGAGAATGGAAGTAAAGGTGAAGAGAAGGAATTAGATTTATACTTCCACCCCTACCTCCTTTGCTGCCAACTGCTAGGTTTGATTACAAAATTGATGAAAATTATGAGTCTAAGAAAGTATATTTGAAGAGAGATTTTGAATGGAGAATTAGAATTTCTGTTAGAGTTTCATCTAGAACAGTTGTGAGGCCAGCCATGAAACTCCCTAATGTCATTTAATATTGTACTTTTCTTAGAGTCTAGTAATAGAATTCCTGTTAATCCTTTAGAAGATAGTTCTGCTGCCAGTTCCCAAAGAACCACTGTTGTTCTATTAGTATAATTATTAAGTGATTAGTAAGAATGAATGTGTGAGTAATGTAGATAAATTAACCACATTTATCAGCTGGGAAAATGTAGGTGATATGAACAATTTTTAGTGTTATTGATTGTAATCGAGTAGATTCATATATTCCCATTTTGTTGTGATAGGTGCCAAGGGAGAGGTGCTCATGCCTTTTTAATCATAAGACAAATTACTTAGTGATACTTAAGAATTAGATTTTGCCAGCATTTTGCTATAAAAAAAATTATCTTCATCTATTCCCAGGACTATTATTAAATTTTTTAAAAAGAGAAAAATCCAACAAAGAGCTGTAACTTGAACTTCATATTATGAAAATAGTACTTAGATACAGAATATATCTTACTTTTCCCAATTATTGGCATGCTTAACAAAAACAAAAACCTTGTACAGACTCCTGTCTGAAGGTTCTAGCAGTCCAATACAGCAATCTAATTTTCTCTATTTCACTTCTACCTTTTTCTGAAAATATCCTGAATGGTTAGAAAATACTAGTTTACAATAGTCATAAGGTAAATAGCACCTTTTTCACATTTAGTAGTTAAATTTAAGTATTGAGAAAAATTATATGAACATTTCATGTGCTTACTACAATTGATAATGTGGCATTTTTTAAATGTTACTTTTTTTAAGGTCTGGAATAAAGGAAGAGAAATCAAGGGGTTATTCTGATGAAGTAAGTTCAGAGAACAGAATACCACATGAGAAATGCATTCTCCAAACTGTTGTGCAAGTAGAGGAAAACCCAGATGCAGATAGCGACTTTGATGTTAATAGCAGTGAGGATGATGAAATGGAAGAAAATAAAAAAGCAAACGCAAGAAGGGAGAGGGTCACAGAGACCTCCAAGAGTGACTCTAAACATCAGAGGAATCAAATCCACTCACAGTCTTCTAGTGAAGAAAGAGAGCATAGTACCAAATGCCACACAAAAAGGTCCAAGTCAAGAGTTCATGAGAAAAGGGAAGATCAGCACCAAGAGAGACAATCCAGGGATCATGAGAACTATTACAATGACCGTGATTACCGAAAAGAAAAGAAGGATTCCCATAGGCACCGAGAAGCCAGCCATAGAGATTCCCACTGGAAGAGGCATGAACAAGAAGATAAACTGAGGGGAAGAGACCAAAGAGAAAGAAATGACAGAGATTGGAAAAGGGAGAAAGACAGGGAGAAATATTCCCCAAGAGAACAAGAAAGAGAGAGACAACGAAATAATCATGATCGATACAGTGAGAAAGGAGGAGAGAAGGAAGAGAAAAGCAAAGAAGAGCATGTGAAAGCAAGGAAAGAAAGATATGAAAACAGTGATAAGTACAGACATAGAGAACAACGAGAAATAAGTATTCAGTCTTCAGAAAGAAACCGAGAGAAAAAAGAAAGCAGCCCAAATTCTAGGGCAAAGGATAGGTTTCTTGACCAGGAAAAATCCAATAAAATGAGAAACATGGACAAAGAAAGAAACCCAGAGAAACCCTCCAGTTCTGAAACATCAGTAGGAGCAAAACATAGACTCACAGAGGAATACCAAGAGATGGGCAAAGAACAAGAGGGACCACATGAAGTGGGGAACAAGTTTGCAAAGCGAAATAATGAAGAAACTGTAATGTCGGCTAGAGATAGGTACCTGGCCAGGCAGATGGCACGGGTTAATGCAAAGACATATATTGAGAAAGAAGATGATTGATAACTGCCCCAGTAGAAAGACCTGTGGAGGCACAGAAAATGAAAACTCCTGAAACATGCTGTGTGAAAGCATAAACGAGTGTGTTAACAGTGGTTGGGAGGGTATTTTTTAATATATTTTCAAAATTCATTATTGGCTTAAGTAAAAATAAGTCCTTTTGTCTTGAATGTTTGAATTGATATGTATTTTATTATCATTACCACATTCTTGGTTGGTGGTAAATCCCTGTACAGGTTCTTAATGAGGAAAATTGTCTGCACTCTAACCATTAAAAAATAACTCCTCAAACAACTCTCCTAATAATGTTGGCTTTGTTGCAGGAGGTGTTAGTTTTATAAATAGTGTATCCTAGATAAAAAATTTGTGGATTTGAGTAACAGAATATTGCTATACTTTGTTTTGATATTTATGTTAATATATAAAATATAGATCATACATTGTCTGACTTTCTAGCTCACAGAATATTTGGCTTAAATGCAAATAAAAATAGTGATACGTTTGTACATTTAATTCAGTCTCATATTTTAAAAGTAATGTCATTTATGCCACGATTCCTTTTTTTTTTAATTTTTTTTTAATGTTTATTTATTTATTTTTTTGGAGAGAGACAGAGACAGAGTGCGAGCTGGGGAGGAGCAGAGAGAGAGGGAGACACAGAATCTGAAGCAGCCTCCAGGCTCTGAGTGGTCAGCACAGAGCCAGACATGAGACTCAAACCCACAAATCCATGACCTGAGCCAAAGTTGTACACTTCACTGACTTAGCCACCCAAGTGCCCCACCTCTTTGTTTTCTTATTTAAAAATCACTTTAATTCTGAAACCTTAGCAAGGTAGTGAATTGGTTATTTCAGTCAGTTTTAGCTGAGGTGAAAAGATGGAGACATTTAGCCTAAATGAGGTTAAAGATCCAGGTAGCTTATGTATGACCCTGACTTTTATTTTTTTTTATTTATTTATTTTTTTTTATTAAAAAAATTTTTTTTTTCAACGTTTATTTATTTTTGGGACAGAGAGAGACAGAGCATGAACGGGGGAGGGGCAGAGAGAGAGGGAGACACAGAATCGGAAACAGGCTCCAGGCTCCGAGCCATCGGCCCAGAGCCTGACGCGGGGCTCAAACTCACGGACCGCGGGATCGTGACCTGGCTGAAGTCGGACGCTTAACCGACTGCGCCACCCAGGCGCCCCGACCCTGACTTCTTTTATATACTCCAATAAAGAAACAGCATTTGAAATTAAATAATTCATTCATGGGTAAAAAATGAATGACATGGAGAAAGTAGTTCTAACAGAAAGTAGTTTATATCTCTCATACTTCATCATGAAGTTACATTGTCTTATTTTCAGAAGGATAAACTTAGTTTAATAATATTGACTTTTAGGGGCGCCTGGGTGGCTCAGCCAGTTAAGCGTCTGGAACTCTGGGGTGCCTGGGTGGCTCATTTGGTTAAGCATCTAACTTCGGCTCAGGTCATGATCACAGTTCATGGGTTCAAGCCTCGAGTCAGGCCATGTGCAGACAGCTCAGCCTGGAGCCTGTTTCAGATTCTGTATCTCCCTCTCTCTCTGCCCCTCCCCTGATCATGATCTGTCTGTCTGTCTCTCTGTCTCTCTCTCTCTCTCAAAAATAAATAAACATTTAAAAAAATTAAAAAAAAAAGCGTCTGACTCGACTTCGGCTTGGGTCATGATCTCACAGTTAGTGAGTTTGAGGCACGCATCAGGCTCTGTGCTGGCAGCATGGAGCCTGCTTGAGATTCTGTCTGCCTCTCCCCAGCTTGCTCTCTATCTCCCTCTCGAATTAAATAAAAATAAACTTAATAATATTGACTTTTAGAAAAGACATTATATATTTAGGATCAAATTTAGAATTCATAAGTAATTTTTATTATACCTTTAAAGCCAGAAAGGGAAAGTAAGAAATCTAATGCCATTATCTCTTGATGGACACATTAAATGTCAGTTGCATCCTAATACTTTAACATAGATCAGTGACCGTGACAAACACTTAAGAGCACTGGCTACATGTACACAGAGGGAGTCGTGTAATGTAACCAAAAAAGTTCAGGTGAGATGATGGAAGACCATGAGTGGTAGGCTAAAAATCTTCCCCTTCAGTTGGGAATGTGGTTTCTTTGCTGGAGTTACTAGTGCCATATAGTGGAAAGATTTATTTGACCATAGTATGCAAGATACAGTCAAGGAGGGAGAGACTGGAGTCAGATTTGATAAGAAATTTGATTTCCCTCCCCCAGTAGTTCAGAAATTTTCACAAAGCAGCTTGGATGCTTTGGATAGGAAAAACAATATAGTACCTTTATTAACAAAGTTTTGACATAACTCAGGAACAAACTACAAATTAAGGTGTTTTTTTTTTTCTTTTCTATCTCCTCCAAATATATAGATGTTTTTGCCTCTCTTGCATTCATTTTACCCTCTTCTAGGACCAGTGCCTTGGTTTTCTTTCAGGAAAAGTACCCCTTCACTACTTAGTCCATTGGTTCAAATGGGGTTGAATAGGCTCCAGGAAAGGTTTGCGACTTAACCTAGGTCAATTCTGACACTGTCAGACTTAAAGAGATAAAAGTTTTCCGCTACCATTGCTGACTTCAAAGATGAGGTGAGTCCAGAGTTGCATGGGAAAATGACTGCCTCAGTGCCTGACAGAATAAAGCTCACACAAAGAGCAGAAATGAGGGGAGTGAGGGACAAACACCTGATGATTGCTTTTGTCTCTCCGGCTCTCCTGGGCGTGTATTTTTTAGATATTTAAACCAATACTTTTCCTGTCTTTTACTTAAGACAGTTTCAATTGGATTTCTGCCACTATAGCCAGAAAAGCCCTATTTGATAGAAGGTTCTACCTATGATGTCTATGCCAGAAGTTACTGGAACATTTTTAATAAACTTTAAAAAATTATAGCATAATAAGCATTTTTAAATAGTGCATGGGGCGCCTGGGTGGTGCAGTCGGTTAAGCGTCCGACTTCAGCCAGGTCACGATCTCACGGTCCGTGAGTTCGAGCCCCGCATCAGGCTCTGGGCTGATGGCTCAGAGCCTGGAGCCTGTTTCCGATTCTGTGTCTCCCTCTCTCTCTGCCCCTCCCCCATTCATGCTCTGTCTCTCTCTGTCCCAAAAAATAAATAAACGTTGGGAAAAAAAAATTTAAATAGTGCATATATCTTGAGTATGTAGTTTAGTGGATTTACCCAGAGTGAACACATCCAGTGTGAAAACATTACCTGACCCACAAGAAGTTCTCTTCACACCCCTTCCTGACCTCCTTACTACCCCTTCCCCCTTTGACTTTCAACTCCACAAATTGGGTTTTTTGTTTCCTAGATTTTATAGTATTTATTCATTCTATTGAATGAATAGACATTATTTCCTGAATGGGATTATTACAAATAATACTTCCATGAGCATTCTGGTACTTGTCTTCTAGTGTGTGCATATATGTTTTGGCGGGGGTGGGGGGGGGTGGATATTCCTAGGGATGGAATTGCTGATCCATAGGTTATACATGTGTTCAGCTTTAATAGATACTGTCAATCAGTTATCCAAAACTACTCTAGCAATTTGTGAGAGTTCCAGTTGCTCCATCTTCTTGCTTAAGCTTGGTAATTGTTTCTCTTTTGTCTTTTGAGTTTAGTCATTCTGTTGGGTATAATGATCTCTCATGGTTTCATGGTTCCCTACAGGCTGTCATATAGTTACTAGCATTAGAATATTTCCCTTTTGAAGAATATGTTTCTTTTGCCTATCTTAGAGGGGCTGGGGATGGGGGGTGGGGGATATTATCTGCCTTGTTTTCATGACCTAAATGATTCTTTATATATTCTGGGTAGGAGTTGTCTTTTGTCTTTGTAAGCAACCTCTCTTCCTCAATGGCTTGCCTTTTCCCTCTTACTCATAATGGTATCTTTTAATGAACAGAGGTCTTGCATTGTTATAAAGTTAAACAGTCAAAAGTTAAATAAAATTTTAAAGTTCACTTCCTCACTTGCACTAGACATTTGAAGTGCTCAACAGCCGCATGTATCTAGCAGCTACCATATAGGAAAGTGCAGATTTATACAACACTTCTGTTGCAGAAAGTTCTGGACAACACTCTTCTAGAAGCATTATTGTTTACTTTTCACAATTAGATTTACCATGCATCTGGAACGAATTTTTATATGTAGTATAATCTGGAGATGAAGATTTATTGTTTCCCATCTGGGCATCAAATAGGACTCATCAGTGAATGAAAACTTTGTTCAAAGTAAAACCATAATGAATACCATTGAACATCCACCAGGAATGGCAAAAATGTTTAGACACACTGCTGAGTGTCGGTGAGGATGTGGAGCCAAGGTAAGTCATATATGCTGCCAGTGGCAGATGACTGGTACAACAATTTAGTTTTACCTAGGAATATTGATGCTGCACCTTATCTATAACTTGTGTTCTTCCACAGATGAACCAGGAATTTTCATAATAGTGTTTTTCATCAAGCTGGAAACAGCCTCAAATGTCTATCAGTAGTAAGTGAATCTGGTATGTATATATACACAATACAGTGAAAACACTAGAGCTATAGGATGAATATAGTGTGAATATATACAATTATGATGAATTTTAGAGTATTGTAAGTAACAAAAAGTAATTATCATAGTTTAAAAAAACAAAAACAAAATAGCGGCTCCTGGGTGGCTCAGCTGGTTAAGTCTTAGACTTCAGCTCAGGTCATAATCTCACAGTTTGTGAGTTTGAGCACCATTTCAGGCTCTGCTGACAGTGCGGAGCCTGCTTCGGATCCTCTGTCCCCCTCTGTCTCTCTGTCCCTCCCCAGCTTGCATGCACGTGTTCTTTCTCTCTCTCTTTCAAAAATAAACGTTTAAAAAAAATTAAAAAACAAAACAAGCAAGGCGTGCCAAGGTGGCTCAGTCAGTGTCCAACTCTTAGTTTCAGCTCAGGTCACGATCTCACAGTTTGTGAGCTTGCAGAACCCGCATC